TTCAGCCTGTTGCTGCTGGAAAATGCAGTGATCCAAGAGGTCCTGCTGCCTTAGTTATTTCGCGTTTGCCATATCCCTAGTTGCGCGTTAGAGAAGTCCTTGTTTAACCCAGGTTGTGCTGAATGACCCAGCAGTCACGACAGCCACGTCTTGCAGTTGATGCTTTGGGTTTCAGCCGCTCCTGGGCTTTTCCCTGTTTTTTGCTTCATGAAAGGAGATGCCGTTAACAGATTTAGCATCCCATAAACCGCTTGCGGTACAACTGCAGATGGAAGTGTGCTAAGAGTGGACAGGAAGGAAAATCACATTCAGCTTAAGAAACCAGTAACAACCATCTGTGGGGAAACAGATGGGAACAGAGCTTTGCTGGAAGGAGACGTATTTTGGAAAACCTGTTCCAGAGGTGGCGTTTGTACACCTGGAGTCAGATCGATCCTCTGTGGATGGTAGCAGGGATATTGTGGTGGCTGTGGTAGAACATCCGCGCTAAGAGATGTGAAGTGTAGGGCGAGGGGTGGGTGTTGCTTTTCTGTGGCTTCAGCAAGACTTGGGGGGGTGTTTTATGCTTGGGAAGGTTTTGCTTGAAAATGGGGAGGTTTAGATTGGACACCAGGAAGTTCTTCCCGCAGAGGGTGGGGAGCACTGGGACAGGTTGCCCAGAGAAGCTGTGGATGCCCCATCCCTGGAAGTGTCCAAGGCCAGGCTGGATGAGGCTTGGAGCAACCTGGTCTAGTGGAAGGTGTCCCTGCCCATGGCAGGGGGGTTGGAACTAGATGGTCTTTAAGGTCCTTTTAACCCAAACCATTCTGTGATTCAGGTTCTGGGAAGTAGTTTGACAAACCTGATAGGTTTTGACCAGGAGAAGGAAGTAACCTTAGCTTACCGAGCTGGCAGGTGCTGAGAGGCTGAGGACTGCTTGTGTTAGGCTGGATTAAACTGCGGGAAGAGAATACTCTTTTGAAGGACTGGGGCGATGTCCAGCGAGTCTTGTGTGGACGGTTCCACTCCTAGAGAAGTGCTGAGTGAGAGAGAAAGCGAAAAGGTTTGTGTAGAACGATGCAGAGGTCAGTGAAGTGAGCAGTGCTGGCCCTGGGAGTCTGCGTGTGCAGAACGAGATACAGTACAAAAATACTTTGGTTTGGGCTTTTCTGACAAGTGTGAACCTCTTTTCCCAGGTCTCCAAGGAAGAAGGCTCTGCTTTAGCACGAGAATTCAACTGCCCCTTCTTCGAGACCTCGGCTGCCTACCGTTACTATATTGATGACGTATTTCACGCGCTCGTGCGAGAAATCCGCAGAAAGGAAAAGGAAGCAGTCATGGCGATGGAAAAGAAATCAAAACCCAAGAGCAGCGTGTGGAAAAGGCTGAAGTCACCATTTAGAAGGAAGAAGGATTCAGTCACTTGAAGAGGGAGAATTCCTCTGCAAAATAAAACAGAACCTGTGAACAGCCACTTGTAACTGACACGGTTTAGCGACACCACTTTGACAGCGTTTTGGACCTGGCGGGACTTCCACGAGGGAACGTGTAACTTTGCCAATTATTTTTGTTCAGACTGACACTCCCCTTAATTTCGGATATTTTAACTCAAGACACAGTAGCGGTTGTACTTTGTCAGTTTTTTACTGGACCCAGCGGATGTGGCGTGTTCGTCGTCGGTTACGGATGCCGATAGGTTTATGGCCCTGCACTTTGGAACACTTGTCTTCCATCGCCGTGGACTGGGAGCTGGCGTGTGTAAAATGTTGCTGAAGTTCTACCCAGCCTCACTTAATTTCTTTTTTTTCCTAGTTGTTTGCACAAGAAGAAGTTGCTGCTCTGGGGAGCAGCAACCCGCATCACGAGGGGCGGCCTGCTGAGGTCGTTGGCGGAGTGTATGTCGCGACTCGCAGCCTTGGCTGCGGTCGGTGTCATTGGACGGAGTTGTGCTAGAGCTTTCGCGTTCTCGTGGAATGGGCTTTTACAGTGAAGTCACGTGGGGCACCTGCACCGGGTTCTCTGGGTTGCAGATTCATCAGCAGTGTTGAGGGTGGGATTCTGAACAAGTCAGAAGCAGCAAACTGCGGTTCCCGTGGCAGCTGTAACTTGGCGGCGGTGCAGGGATGTGTAGCGTTTTCCTGCTGCGTAGAGCGTTTGCTGTGTTGCTGTCGCACGCCTGACGCAGAGAGGCTGGAGGAACCACAGCTTTGCATCTTCTGACTTGCCGGTTAAAGGTCATGGCTGTAGTGGTGCGCTGGCTTATTTATTTAAGTTCAGTTTCATGTTCTTGTCTTAAAGAGCCAGTAACTTTGTAAAGTAGAAGTCTCTAACACATTAAATTTCAGATTATTCTATGATAGCTACTTTGTAGAGAGAATGACTCAGGCTGAGGTATCTGAGCCCAGCATTAACATCCCTCATGCTTGGTTGGGTTCTTCCGGCACCGTCCTGAAGTGGAGTGGCTGGTGCAGTGGAAGGAAACGGTTAGCTGGGCGCAGCGGCAGACACTCACATCCCCGGCCCGACGTGTCTGGGCAGCACAGACGCAGCTTTTCCTACGCTCAGTGAGGAATGATTTGGTAAGAAAGTGCTTCTGGGACAGACCCCCCGCACACTGAGATTCTCTGCTTTCGACCCCATTCGCGTGTACATCTGTTACAGGGTTAAAACTCAGCAGAGACATGTGTCTGGTTTTCCTCTTGGTTTCCTGTTTTAATAATGGAGTAGCTCCTAGCTACGTGACTCAGACAGGGTTAAATCAAGATTCTGGGAGAACAGAGTGCCGAGGATCTTTCGGTTTCAGAGTGACAGAGCTTAGCAGACTGCGTGTGGTGTAGCTGCAGTTACTCACCGTGTCAGTAGCTGTTACCCTTACCGGTCAGAAATCAGACCGTGACGGTGCCGTCAGGACCGAGCATCCGTGTGCAAGAGGATTAGTACAAGAAGTGAGGATAGCAAATGGGTAAACCTTTTTTCTTGCTAAGGTCTTTATTGTTTAAAATACAACTGGAAATTCTGTGCCTGTTGGTTTGAGAGTATTTTCTTTGTGTAAGATTCTTGTAACGAGAAATTTGGACGGGGCTGTACATTTTTTTTAATTTTGTTTTGTGGCTGAGCTAAACGTTTCCGTTGGTTTCTGTTTCTCACTTCCTCCCGTGCTCCGGCGCCGCGCACGCGTGCGTTGTTTGGAAGAGGCTGAGGGTACGTCACGCGGGTTAGAATTTAAGATGCTTCGGGTTCGCTGTGTGAGCAGTTGTGCCCGACTTCCCGGTAGTTGACCCCATGAGGACCAACAGCCCTGCTCAGCGTTCCGTGTGGCATTCAGCGCTGTCTGTGACTCAGCTACACATCCCAGGAAAACCATCCTGCCGAGAACTTGAGGAGGAGGAGGGGGCGACAGCTGAGAAGTTGCGGGTTCTGTCCTTCTAAAACTGATGTCGGGCCAGCCTGCTGGGAATGCTGAGCAGGGGCCGGGTTGGGATTAAAAGTGCTCCCTGTGCTTTTCCTTCGTACAGTGAGTTAATACAAAGTTTTGGTCGCCTTCCCACGTTCAGAGGTTTTGGCTAATGCGTCAAGGCAGCCTGTCAGCTGCGCCGAGCGCTGTGTGGGCCTGTGCTCAACTTTAAGTCACTGATGTCTGTGCCTTACACCCTCCCTTCAATGCAATTTCAGTGTTTACTAATGCCTTTTGTGAGCCTGTTGCTTATAGATCATGACATTGGAACAGCAGCAAGCACTTTTTTTTTTTTACAGTGTTATTCGAAGAGAGTTTTATTTTTGTCATGTATAAATTTGTACACAGAATTATTGTTTTATTTGACACAATATATAATTTTTAATACAAACATTTGCACTTGATGTTTTAATTTGGGTCTAGCAGGATGGGTCGAAGGCTGGTTGGCCTTGGAGTGCTGGAGAAGGGAAGCAGCTGGGCTTAAGCCTCTCTGGGGCTTTGCTGTAGTCGCTGGGTTCTTTCCTGAGGTGTTCATGCTGTCGCCAGTTTGCCGTGTCACTCGCTCCGTGCCGAGCGCGAGGCTACCGGTGTCGCTTGGGTTGGGATGGAGAGGATCTCGTCTGCCGCGCGCAGGATGTTTTTGTCTCTGCACGCGGCATAAATGGCTCCTGGTGCAGTCACAGGCACCTTCCCCGTCTCTCGTCACCGTGTCTTGTAAGAAGCATCTCGTGGCTTGCAGCTGTAACTCCGGTGGGTGTCCTCCCCGTCCGCAGAGACGCGCTTCAACGGCAGCGCTTCTGGCGATAAGGTCCCTGATGGGGTTTGGAGCGGGGTCTGTTCTGCTCTCTGCACAGCAGCAGGCAGATGAATCTTCCCCATCGATAGGCTGATCCGCGTTACCCACTTCCGGCCTCTGGGATTGTAACTTGTGACTAACTGCACGATTCCCAGATCAACTCACCTACACGTTTTTGTTTGAGGTGACATCCGGTTGGCAGCCGTGAGTGACGCCGGTGCCATGCAGATGTTGGGGTTCGTTACTGCCCCTCACTTAGACTATGATGAGGGGGCTACAGGAGAGCTGGGGGGGCTTTTCCCAAGGGCAGGGAGTGACAGGAGGAGGGGGAACGGGTTTGAACAGGAAGAGGGAGATGGAGATGGGCCATCAGGAAGGAATTCTTCCCACAGAGGATGGGGAGCACTGGGACGGGTTCCCAGAGAAGCTGTGGATGCCCCATCCCTGGGAGTGTCCAAGGCCAGGCTGGATGAGGCTTGGAGCAACCTGGGCTATGGAAGGTGTCCCTGCCCATGGCAGGGGGTGGCACTAGGGGGGCTTTAAGGTCCCTCCCAGCCAAAACCATTCCATGATTCTGTGAACTGTGGAATGAAAACATTCCTAGCATGGCATTCTTACAGTTCTTTCCCCAGCCTGACTGCCAGGTGCCATTTATCTGTCACCTCAGTAGTTACAGCAGTGGGGTTTTGTATAAAAGTTACCATAATGGAGACTTTAAATGAAAACTACCTTATGGATCAAAGAAGTTAGCGCATTCCAGTACTGGTTGCCTGGGTCTCTGGGAATTCACATGGTGTCAGACGTGTGGGAAGAGAGAGCTTGTCGGTATTTCATCTCCCCGAGGCCAGGCTCAAAGGTGTTTAAGGTGGTAGTTACCAAATCTGCTCACAAACAGCGGCTTTATCACCAGGAATGAAGAAGTCTCGGCTAGGAAGAGTCTGGATCTGCCGTAGTGGGGGGGTGTGTAGCTGAGCACAGCTGGCTGCTTACTGTCCACCTCGAGTGTACCAAGAGAATGTTTCTCATCTCCTGTGGTGCTGATCCAGATTTGCTTTGTGCAGTTTGTTACCGGAATGCCAACCTGTAACGCCCCCTCGCTGTTAACGGGTCAGTCGAGGTAACGAAATCGCTTACAGAAGTGCAAAATGTAAGATAAGGGAGGTTAATTACACGTGACTGAGGACAAAAAACCCTGCCAAAAGTACTGCTGTATTAAAGCAGTGTGCTGGGTTCAGTCCGGAAAGAGTTAACTCTTCACCCTGGCTGCTGTGAGGCTGTTCCTGGATGCTGAGAGCAGCACTGATGGGATCTCAGCTGGCGCTGGGCAATGCCTGCACCAGATTCAAGGTCTGTCTCCGCTTCTGACACTGCAGCTGCGCTCCCCCGTCTCTACAGGCAGTGCAGGGGGACACAGCTCAGAGAGCTGACCCCAACTGACCAAGGGAGTATTTCACTCCACAGTACGTCCTGCTCGGGGCACGGGCAGGGCGGGGGTCCATCACTCTCTCTACTCCCCCTCTGTCGCTCGCTCCCGTACACTTGCTGACCCTCTCCCTGACTCCTGTGTTAGCTGCTTTGGTGACACCTGTGCTGGCTCGTTCGGGAGGGAGTTGGTGGGTTGGTTTAGTTTTCCCGGCCGTGCTATCGCTGACAGGGTTCACTCGGAATCTGCTGCGATCGCTCTCAGGCTGCGGCTCTCGGGCTCTCTGGTCTGACTCTCACTACTCAGCACCTGGTTGTGCACTGGCCAGTGGGTGGTGAGCAACTGTACCATAACTGTTACTGTATCATATGTTTTATTTCCTACTGTTTTAATTACTTAGTAGTATTTGTATACATTAACTGAGATTGAATTAGTAAATAGTTCTTATCTCAATTTTACAAGCTTTCTTATTTCCTTTTCCTCGGATTCTCCCCCTCCATTGGAGGAGGGGAGGGGGATTTGTGAGAACAGCTTTGTGGTATTTGGCTAGCCAGGGTAAACCACGACAAGCAGCCACACGTGTCACAGGACTGAAGGAGCGAAACGAAATCCTACAGAGGAACCAGGTGATCCCGTCAGGCGTCTGGGTTGTGGGTACTTGCTGCCGTGCTATTTCCTACCAGTATAAATCTGGCTGCACATAACTGAGACCAGGGACCAGTAAAACCAGTGCTGCCCCGAGATCTCACGGAAC